TGATGATAATTACCAATATTGTTGCTGATAATTGTAACTTTATTGGAGTTTACAGGTTGTGGAAGATTTGTAAAATTCAATAATCTACTTGTGTAAATAGCATTTGGATGAACAGTTGCAGTAATTGTTGAAAGATTAAAGGGCCTTTTATCTGCTTCTTTAAATATATTTCTTATTTCTTTTAATTTATTTTTTTTAAAATAATACTTAGAATCATCATGTGCAATTGCATCTTTCCAAAAAGTAATAATTTTTAAAATTTCATCTGCTGTTGGCCTTTTTTTAGGATCAGCATCTGTGCATTTGTATGCTAACCTAATATAATATCCTGGAGTATTGTCTGAAAAACTAGGTCTTAGGCCACTACAGATCTTGGTAGCAAGTTCTAAATCATGTGGTTGATCTTTGAATGGTTGTTGACATGTTGATAATTCTGACATTAAGATTCCAAAGCTATAGATGTCAGATTTTTGGGTGTAAGGTTTCTTATTTAATACCTCTGGTGCAATATATGGCAGTACTCCAACTATATCATTTTTACTTGATATTTTTTTATTAGTTGGGCCTGATAACCCTAAATCTGTAATCATTGTCTGGAATAAATAATCAAAATATAAAATATTACCACTGTGAAGATCACCATGTGTAAGTTTTTCATGATGAAATGTGTTTAAACTTGAAACAATATCATAAAGTATTTTAATTTTATCATTCCATCTTGTAACATTTGATTTTAAATATTTTTTAATATCTCCTTTGTCTGCATATCTCATTACAAGAACATATTCTTTTGTATTTGGATCTTGTGAAATGCCATAAATATTAACAACACCCTTGTGATAAGGCCCTATAAATTTAATGTGATTTTGAAGCTTTATGACAATCAACAAAAAATTAATATATTATTTAAAAACCATTAATTAATTGTCAATTAATTATATCAAATTATTTACCTCCTTTAAAAACTCATCAGAAATATTTTGAGAGTTTTTAACCTTTTTTAATGCTACATTACCATTATAACAATAATATCTTTCATCATTACTAATATATCTAGGACCATTTGACCAATAACACTTGTACACAGTTGCAAAACCACCTTCACCTATTTCTTCTTCAACTGTGAGTTGGTCATAAGGAATCCACTCAAGACAATGATAACTATCAAATCCTTTGGCTTCAAGCTGTGTATTTCTGATAATTTCATCCAATTTTTCATTACCACTGCTAGTCCAACTTTGAGCTAACAATTTGGGATCACATGATTGACACCACTGATAATTAGTATTATATCTTGCACAAACAGAACAGATTCCATATTCTTCTTTTTCTTCTTTAAACCTCTTAGTGTTATCTTATTATTTCATTATAAAAAATTAAAAATAAAATAAATTTACTTTTCAGCATAATAAAAATAGATGAAAAAGATAATTTATAAAATTATTTTACCTTCAATTGTTAGTTATTATACACAAAAAATAAAACAGACAAGGTTTTGATAAAATTTATTTGTATTGTAAAAGTTAATTTATAATATAACATAATATTTACCAGCTAGTTATTATGAAACAATAAAATTTATTTAATAGATGATGATATTATAAAATAAAATTTTATGTTATAGAAATTACTTACATGCTGGAAAAATAAGTTTATTAATTAGTTGATGTTTTAATAAAAATTATTTTGTGTTGTAAAAGTTAATTTCATAATGATACTTACTTCCTGGTTATTATAAAGATTCATTAATTAGATGATGTTTTAATAAAATTCATTTTGTGTTGATTTATAATATGCTACTTACCAGCTGGTTATTATAAATAAAGAAAAATGAACTTATTGATTAGATATAAAAATTATAAAAATTATAAAAGTTATAAAGTTGATTTATAATACAATATAATACTTACTAGCTGGTTATTATAAAGAAATATTAAAATAAAATTATTTAATTAGATGATGTTGAAGATAAAATTTATTTTGTGTTGTAAAGTTAATTTATAATATAATACTTACAAACTGGTTATTATAAAGAAATAAAAATAAAAATATTTAATTAGATGATGCTGAAGATAAAGTTTATTTTGTGTTGTAAAGGTTAATTTATAATATAATACTTACAAACTGGTTATAAAATTAAAAATATTTAATTAGATGATGTTTTAATAAAGTTTATTTTGTGTTGTAAAAGTTAATTTATAATATAATACTTACCATCTATGAAATAAAAATAAAAATATTTAATTAGATGTTTTGATAAAGTTTATTCTTTGTAAAAATTAATTTATAATATAATACTTACGAGCTATGAAATAAAAATAAAACTATTTAATTAGATGATGTTTTAATAAAGTTGTAAAAGTTAATTTATAATATAATACTTACACCCTAGTTATTATAATGAAATAAAAAATAAAAGCATTTAATTAGATGATGTTTTAATAAAGTTGTAAAAGTTAATTTATAATATAACACTTACAAACTATGAAATAAAAAAATAAAAAAATTTAATTAGATGATGTTGAAGATAAAGTTTATTTTGTGTTGTAAAAGTTGATTTATAATATAATACTTACAATCTAAGAAATAAAAATAAATTTATTTAATTAGATGATGTTTTAATAAAGATAAAGATAATTTTGTGTTATAAAAGTTAATTTATAATATAATACTTACCAACTATTAAATAAAATATAATACTTACCTTCTATGAAATAAAAAATTAATTTATTTAATTAAATGATGTTTTAATAAAGTTTATTTTGTGTTGTGAAAGTTAATTTATAATATAATACTTACCATCTATGAAATAAAAAATAAAATGATGTTTTAATAAAGTTTATTTTGTGTTGTAAAAGTTAATTTATAATATAATACTTACAAGCTATGAAATAAAAAATAAAATTATTTAATTAGATGATGTTTTAATAAAATTTATTTTGTGTTGTAAAAGTTAATTTATAATATAATACTTACCAACTATGAAATAAAAAATAAAATTATTTAATTAGATGATGTTTTGATAAATTTATTTTGTGTTGTAAAAATTAATTTACAATATAATACTTACTCCCTATGAAATAAAAAATAAAATTATTTAATTAGATGATGTTTTAATAAAGTTTATTTTATGTTTAAAAGTTAATTTATAATATAATGCTTACAAACTATGAAATAAAAAATAATATTATTTAATTAGATGATGCTTTAATAAAGTTTATTTTTGTTGTAAAAGTTAATTTTTAATATAATACTCATAATACTCACCAACTATGAAATAAAAAAATAAAATTATTTAATTAAATGATGTTTTAATAAAGTTTATTTTGTGTTGTAAAAATTAATTTATAATATAATACTTACTCCCTAGTTATTATAATGAAATAAAAAGAAAATTATTTAATTAGATGATGTTTTAATAAAGTTGTAAAAGTTAGTTTATAATATAGTACTTACAAACTATGAAATAAAAAAAAATTATTTGATTAGATGATGTCTTAATAAAGTTTATTTTGTGTTGTAAAAGTTAATTTATAATATAATACTTACACCCTGGTTATTATAATGAAATAAAAAATAAATTTATAAAGTTTATTTTGTGTTGTAAAAGTTAATTTATAATATAATACCTACCAACTATTAAATAAAAATAAAATTATTTAATTAGATGATGTTTTAATAAAGTTGTAAAAGTTAATCTATAATATAATACTTACCAACTA